GCCTAAGAAAGGAATGCAGAGATGGCTCTTTGATGGTGGCAAAGAGAAACACTGGCTCCTTAGAAAAATATTTGAGCAACATTTTAAATATTTTTCATTAGATCAAAATGTCTGGGGATAAAACATTTTTAAACAATTTTGGAGGCCTATGTTTCCACTTCTCTAAATTATCCCTAAATGGATTGAAAATAATATTCTTTTTACAATGTCTGAAGTTTTCACATGGATACTTTAATTAGTACAAAAGGGGACAAAACCTTGGCTTGACTGAGTACTGTTTATTACTTTTTTTGATACCAGCTTATAAACCAAAGCATTAATGTAGCATAAAAAACTAATGCTTTCCCTAAAAGCTACTATAGAATCTATACTGAACCATGACATCGCTAAACTACTTGGCAGTACCGTAGTCATGGTCAAGGTTGATGGCCACACCTGAAGGTGTCACCTGAGAATTTGTACCAATGAACAACTGAGCCAAACTAAATGACTTAAACATAAAGTGGGACCTTCAAGTTCATATTAATAGACACTGTCTGAGACTAGAGTTCAATCTTGTAATAAATAATAGAATTCACAAACTACTACTATTAATTTAAAATTTCAAGCCATTATTATAATATAGATACCACTTCCTTAAGTCCTGATACTCACCTCAGATTAGAGTCAATTCACATTCTTTACACATCTAGAAGAAATCACTGTGCTCAGTGAATGCTCATAGAAAACCTAAAGAGCTCCTTGAACAAGCTCATTTGCCTACAAATTTGATTTGTTATGCACCTCAGAGAAGTGCACTTCAAATCAGTTAATTTCTACTAAATGAAGTGGAGCTCCAATTAATAGTTATCATAAATTTTAAAGCAAGAGAAATATGGTGTTATCACAAATGGGCTAATTTCTCGCACTTAGTTACAATACTCCCCCACAAACCATGACCATAGAATTTATTAAAGCCTAGAGTTTTCTCTGAAATCCATCAGAAAGTGAGAAACTGGACCATTGTAATAATTACTCCTTTCAGAATAAACAAATTTCATGATATAAATCAGCTGTAGATAGATGGCTCTCAGAAATAAAACGTGCCAAGTGGCTACAATTTTGTTTTTTACATTGAGATCTTCTTAAGATGCATTTCCCGAAGACTATGTTTGCACATATTTCTGTTTCGCAACACAGTTAACTCATGGAAGCGAACACATTTTATATTCAAGGGCCCCCAGTTACCCAATAAAGATCCTTCAGTTGCTCAGTATTACTCATCTGCCAACCGAGGACACTTATGTGTACCGATTATAACATAATATCTCCTTCTCTTGAGATAAAATTTTATATGAAAATTAGAGAATAAATTCAAAGAAAATTGAGGAACTCTTCCTTGCCATCCCCTTCCTTTTAGGCCACAGGAACAGCTGCATTGAGAAATTTGGAAAAGATTTCAATGTGACCCTCTATGCTGATCCAATTCAAATCGCACTTGCCACTGAATAAGGCAATAGGCAGAAACAGCTTTCAAACAGTTTAAATAGCAGGGCAAGGTGTTGCTTTTGAAGTGTGTGCAGACACTATAATACTACAAAATTGAAGCCAATCTGTGGTCCATTTTCCACTTCTAAAATGTTTTTCAGATAGCTAGTGCCTGATTCACGTTAAAGTTCACCCAAATGCTGCTGCACAGAACATATCTGTCAGTGGATAAACCAACAACCAGCACATGCCAGGCAGTGCCTGCCCCTCATGCTGGTTGTGCCTTCCCATGAATTCCTCTCAGTTGCTTACTTTTTGAATTACCCCAAGCAAGAGAGGAGCTGCCAAGTGCATTGCCACTGTGCCACTGACCACTACCATGGTTCTCCTACCTTCCCTCATCAATAATCAGCATATATTTGGAAAAAGCAAATTCATTTTATATAAACTAAAAAATATACTGAAGGAATAAAATCTTTTAAAACTAAATCATCACAAAATCAAATAAACATTTTGAAGTTCTCCTGTACTTATCTGCTTTGTGCATGCCACAAAAAGTGTGGCCAAAAGATTATATATCTTCGGTCCAATAATAACTCATTTTGAAACTGAAACAGTTTTAAGAAAAGTTGTGAAATTCATGTAGCAAAAGCAGAACTGAAGCATTCTACCTACTTTATGGCTCAGAAAGGTTTGATCAAGGTTATATGTCAGAAAATATAGATAAATTTGGCACGTAATGTTTCATACTTTGGAATTGATAAAATTTCAAGGAACGGTCTCATTTTCTAACATGATTTTTATTGCCTGCATCAGTTTCTTCTCTTAGAATTGCAAATATTTATATAGTGTATTATTAATTTTAGTTATAGTGCTTATTTTTAAATTCATTGGAAAGCTCATTATTGGTAAAGAGAATAGATAGATGAGATTTTGTGAAGTCATTGCAAAATGTAAAGTAAAACCCAAAAATAAATTAGCTTTATGTATAAGATCGTATATCCATTTTCTCCTACTCTAAAATGGAGTATCAACTGGAGTTTAAGAACCTATTTCTACTTAGCAAAGAGTAGATTTTTATTTATTTCAATACTTCTGTTTAGTAAGTTGCATAATGTACTTCAATTGCATAAAGAAAAAATATGGTATTCTTCCATATTTTGACCATCTATTAACTCCCTATATTTTAAGACATCCATGCTACAAACATTGCACATAAAATACAGTATTTTACACATATGGATATACATGCACAAACTTCAACTTCAATGCAGATAGGTATGAATCACATTACTCAAAACAAAATGATAAAACTAGAGGTTCAATTATAAGTACTCAAACTCATTGTTAGCTTAGAAAAATTAAAATCATATTTCAAAAATTAAGATAAAATAGTTACGCCATAAGGGGTCAAAAAATAAAGTATCTATGGTTAAAGCAAGACTGTGAGGACTACCAGACTACAGTGAACAAGCCACGACACAATTGAAGCTCTGGATAAATGGTTGTACACAGGTGGTTACCTTAAGAGAATGTACCACAGGTTCGGGCTGCTGAGAAGGTGTGGTATGTCCACTGAAGCTAGCTGGAGAGTTGGGTGAACTGTTACTCCCATCAGCCCCTGATGACAACCTAAAAGAACCCTTAGTAGAAAATCAACAACTTTGTTATTAAAACAAAAGTCGTTTATAACTACACAGATGTCATTCAATATTCAATTTCACTGCCAACTGAGAATGAGCCTTTTTGTTACTTTTTCCTAGGCTATCTTAAGATGCTATCAACCAGTTAATTGGAACACACTTGCTTCTTGACCAGCAACAAAACTTAACCTAACAGCCATCTCTATACACTTCCAGATGTCATCTCTGATTTACCAAAGACAACAATGTCCCCCGAGGAATGGCCCTTAAGAACATTTCAAGAATGATTTTTGAAACTTAAAGACACTCAAGAGCAGGGAAATCCTGAGTTACTCCACAGCTGACTTAAACATGCTCACTCAGCAAGCCAAATGACATATTGCATATGTCTCAGAATATGCAGACACATCACATTCTTGCATTAGCGAAACTGTGTTTCTTATAAAACCTTTCTCTAAGGGAGAGACCTATAGTAGAGCATTTTCCAAAACGATGTGATCAAATTCAGTATTTTCTTTAAGAACCAATTCTCTCATTTTTCTGGCCTTTCTAAAAATGAAAAACAAAATAAATATAAATTACATATTTTTAGTTTAGTGACTCTTTAATTTAACTGGCAAGAACCCAGAACCTGATCATGATTAATTTGACATGTGCAGGCTACAGTCATCCCCACAAGAACTAGGAATTTCCCTGACTAGTCTACCCTTTTTCTAAAGGTTGCTTGGGGAAAGACTAATGGATTAGCAAAGAAAAAGAGAGCAGCAGTTATCTACTCGCCTAGAAAAAGCAGTCAAATGGGAATTTTCCAAACCTGTTTTTATAGATCATTACACTATTAGAGGACCTGTGAGGTTTTTGTTTTGTTTTGAGACAAGAGTCTTGCTCTGTGGCCCCTGGTAGAGTGCAGTGGTGCCATCATAGCTCACTGCAACCTCAAACTCCTGGGGTCAAGCCATCTTCCTGCTTCGGCCTCCCAGGTAGCTGGGACTACAAGCGCGCATCACCACGCCTGGCTAATTTTTCTATTTTTACTAGATGGGGTCTCGCTCTTGCTCAGGCTGGTCTCAAACTCCTGAGCTCAAGCAATCTTCCTGCTTGGCCTCCGAGAGTGCTAGGATTATAGGCGTGAGCCACCATCCCCCCGGCCTGAGGACCTGAGAGATTTTAATGTCTGCCTCTTATCTATAGATTTTTTCACATCTAATAGATTAATAACTGCTCCATTTAAGTTGATTCTATCAATCTAATCCCCTGAGTAGGAGCCACTGAAGGTGTATCATATGTGAATTCATAAAGGAAGAAACAATAGTAGTTTGGAATATTAATTTGTAGCATCTCCGGGAGAACTTTTATGCTATACATTTTAGCGACGGGAGGGAAAAGCTGCCCACAGTAACAGTTATGTGTATGGGTTACATGTAAACCATGCTTTACACAGAAATTAACAATCCCCCTTGATTTCTATTATTTATGTCATTTGAAATATTTTCTCCCTTCCCTTTTTGCTGTCATTTCTTCCTGTGTCCTTGAAGACTCCCCTTGCCACCTTGCAAGCCTACTGAGGCCACATTCTTTACCCTGCTCAAAGAGTTGGACAATCCAATCGAGTCCTGCCCCCAGCCTCACTACCAACAGGAAGAAGGAGCAATGGAATATGGCATGTAGGGGGTTTCTTCAGCTTCTGTCCCCTACTGCTACTAACACTTGAATTAATAGCAGGTGATGACACAGGACTGCTGATTATAACAGCCCCAATCCCCTTTGGGAAAAGAAATTATAAAATTTGTTTTCCTGTATTTGTAACTCAGATTAAATCTGACATAATAATGCCAGGTACACCTAAGGGAAGGGAAATCATTTGAAGTTTAAAGATGGTTAAAGGACATACCCTCCCCTGACCCCAACCACCAAATTTTGGACATCTTCCTCTTTAGTGATCAAATGGTTCCCAAACTAAGGATTTATAAAGGAAGCTCTTCTTCCCTGAATAACCCTAGTTGTCTACTGTTTTTCCCCTCCTGATTCCACTCTTACGAACTCTCTCTTAACCACTTCTGAGGTTACACAGAGTACATATCAAACCTCTCATTTAGGACCTACCATGGCAGTGCTGACTTTCCTCTGACTGGTAATCTAATTTAGCAGGCAATAATCCTTCCCACTCTAGGCTACCTCCTTCCCATTCTTCCTGAATTTCAAACCCTTTTCAGAGCAGCCCTTCTGTTTCAAAGGTTCTCTTCCCAGACCTGGCAAAAAGACAGGCATATCAATAGCAGCATGCTTTTGCTTGGGCATGGGCCTCTCTCTTCCAGAGTATTTTGGTTTGAGAGAATTTCAAAAATCAATGTAAATAGCATCCTTAACACAAATCATCTGGGCCACTTATCATTGTTTAAACTTAAGGAAATTCCTCTTCTGGTCATAGCTATTCAGAAACACTTTTTTATTGAAGTAGTTTCCTTAAAAAAAAAAAAAAAAAGGGTACAGTAGGATCTTTCCTAGAGTATGCAGTGGGGAAAAATATATCATTCAGGGATTAAAGTTCTACTTCAAACTAGCTTTGAGAGCCATGGCCTGGTAATCAACCAGAAAGATCAAGGTTCGTATTTTATGTGGTTTTTGTGAAGCTGCAAAGGTAACCAAATGCCTGGTAAAGTTTAGCAACAGCAGATGCTAAATAGTTTTCTAGATTATAACGACAGATTGAAGCACATTCTGTTGTATCTCATTTAGTACTATAAAATAAAAGGTTAGTTCCTATGTGCTTTGTAAAATCAGACTAATATTCAGAGAATTACCTAGGTTCAATTGATGCATACTCTCAGTTGGCTAATATATTTTCACTGAACTACTTTTTAAAAATATGAGTGAAATGCCAGCATACCAAATGATTTTAAACAGTCCCCTTAGAGTTTATTTCAGTAAGATTAAATTCATTTATTTAAATTGTACTTGGCTGGTTCAGGAGACAGGGAATTTAAAACAAAGAAAATCTTAGTAAAATTGGAAATGTGATTCCCAGCTTGAATTGCTTATTTTCAAGCTACCCATGCCCACGTAGTGCATTTATCACCTCTTGGTCAGTAGTCAATTTGAAAGGGCAAGGAATAATTTTCTGAGCTGGCCTAGAGACATCCGATTTTCATGGTCACAGACCTAAACTCCTTTTCACGAATGGACCAGAGTACCTTTGTTCTTCTCTCCTGTTTGAGGTTGCTCAACTTTCACCCCCAAGTTCAGGAAAGCAACAGTGAAGAAGATTATTTATGAGGTGAAAAACTCTACTTCCATCCTCCCGCCCCGGATTTAAACATACAGCAATTTTCTTTCATGTGTACGAACTTGTTTTCTACCCCCCCAGTATAACTTTTCCTCTAGCAACAGAAGCCATTTGGTTACGCACAAGCAAATGCAACCAGCTGACTCATCTTCACTCACCGGGAGAGTGGGCAGGCATCGTCCTATTCCTCGGCACCCTTGCCACCACTGCAACACCCGCTGGGCTCTGGGCCCCCAGCCTTTCTCCATATTTGAGCTGTTTCTAGTTGGAGGTTGCCTTCTATGCTGGGTGGCCTTATATTTGGAACAATATGGTACAATCACTCAGAAAAATACTGTTTCTCGTCTCAAGAAAGCAGATTAGAACAAGAAGCTTAATGAAATGAACCACAATGACCACAATGGCAAGCTGTAACATGCACTTTGTAGCTAGGGAAAAAATAAAAATAAAAACAATCTGAAATCCTGTATATTAGAGCTAATATAGATTTAAGTTTTTGGCATTCTCAAGCTATCAAAAAGTAGATGATAAAATTACAGAAAAAACTTGAAGCTATTTAAACAGCTTTATTTCATAGGTTTTACCTGTGAGAAATAGTGAGTTACCATAATTCTTCCAAATATTTAGACTGTATAACTTCAGAACATAGCAGAAATTATTTCAAATACAATTAGGAGCACTATGTTCTTTTATTAAGAAACACTAGATGGTTATACATATTTAATAATAGTAAGAAAACTTACACTGTATCAAATTTTCAACAAAATTTCTGCACATGGAAGAGTATGTCATGAGCTAACAGGTCACCACTGTATTAAAATAATTATTTTATGTAGGAAATCTACATAATTATCAAAATTTCTATTAATTAGTTAACTCCCAAATTTCTGTACTCATTCGAACTAAAGATACCATGTAACTAAAGTAAAAGGAAAAAATATTCCTTAAATTACAACTTTTTCCATCACCAAGCTGCATAATCCTATTAAATGATCAGAAGCAAAATAAACTTATTTGACCATGATTTCCTCTCCCTGCCAACTTTCACTTAGACCTTTAAGAATGCTATGTCCTGAGGAATAAGGAGATAATTTTTAAAATTACAGAAAATCTTCAAAATGATCCAAAAATTCCAGTGTCTAAACGTTAATGTTTATTTTAGGAGACTGAAAATGAGAATATATTATTTTAGTTCTCACTGGTTCATTTTCCTGCAAATTAATGTTCTATTCTGAATAGTACTGATCTAATTCTCACTCTTCTCTAACTTTTGGAGGTTGAAGAATAAAGAAAATGCACCATGGTCTTAAGTGAAATAAAAAAGAAAAGAAATGATGACCAGCAACCAGTACCCCAAAACTCTTCTGGGTCTATGAAATCAGTATCAGTTACCTGTCAAATAAGTCACATATACTCTATTCCATACATATAACAGGGAAAATTATATATTTGCACTTGGGTCACAATGATAATTTCATCATAGCAACATAGATTTGAATGCTGCTCTTTTCAGAATTATTTCATGTGTAAGAGTCTAATTTATTTTCATCATCAAAAGAATTATCTCTAATAATTTATAATACAGTCCATGGCTTAAAATTCACCTTCCACCCTAATCTGCATAGTTCTATTTCTGAGAAGATCATTAATGAATAATAGAAATTTTATAGTTATCACAAATAAGAAGATCTATCCATCTGGATTTGGTTCTTTCCATGACTTACGCATCTCTCAGACCTTAGGCTTTTTGGATTCAACTACCAAGTATTAACAGAACATATAGGAATTCTTATTTTCATTCTTCCTTAATGTATAGTGAAGCTAAATCACAATGAATCTCCATTGTGACAAAGCTTATTACCATACTCATCTGAGACCATTTAGCTAGAAAGAGCAGCCACTTAGCTGCTACGCAGAGACACACAATATTTTTTCCCACTTTCAGAAAGTAGATACCACATAAAATAATGGCTATACTTTTAAGCCTTGTAAAAGGTTCTTTTTAAACATATTGAATATATATGATACAGTATGATTGATCTCATAAAGGGGACAGTAAACAGGTACCAGAGTTTTGCAGAAGAATAAACTACTTCATGACATAACCATTTTAAAGGAAAGGGCACTCTTTTAGAACCAAAATTACTGCATTGACTTTCTAGTCATGTCAGCCATTTTTTTTTAATCCAGGTACGTGAAAAACTGTGTTTTGGGCCAGCCATCATCTTTGACCTTCAAATAAACTATATCAGAATGGTATTTATACACTAATGAAGGCTTAGCTCTTTGCCAGCTACAAATGGGCAACCATGATATTTTCTGAAGACTGCTTCATAAAACCTAAGAAGCCTTTAGTAACTTGGTCATTGGCGTTGTTCCCAGCAACTCTGGAGCTGAAAATGGGGGAGCCCAGACTCTGGCCATCAACTGGGAGAGCAATTCCAAATAGTCTTAAGAAAGTCACTTTCTGTTTTCTGAGTTATTTCGGTTTTTTTAGTTTTGTTTTCTGTAGTTTTCTAAAATTCCAAATTCATAAAAAAGAATTCCTGAATGAACCCAACATTCCCATAGAAATCTGTGTACTGGTTAGCACTTTATATACAAATATATATAAGGTAACTCACAAATTATTTTAGATACCAGGATGGTCCACACTAAGTGTCATAGTAAAGTAATGCTCTGCATCAAGGTTGTGTGGGTGGTAAATTACAGGCATGTGTATGGTGTAGCATGAGTCAGAGCCTATGGTCTCAGGACTTCCAGGGGTCAGAGTCTGGATGGTTCTCAAACTCTGACAGGGTGCAAACTCCTCTGTATTTAAGCAAGAATTCAACATG